ACCAGCTAGGCATAATAGCATGTATCTATAATCCCAGCACTTGGAAAGCCAAGGCAGGGGAATCGTGAGTTCCAGACCAGCTGGGCCTGGAACATAATGAGACCCTATTTAAAAACCAAAAATGCCACATGTGGGTGTGTATGCTTATAGTTTTAGCATTTGGGAGGCTGAGAAAAGAAGATCATGAGTTTAAGGCTACATAGTGAGACCCTGTCTAGATATATAGTGAGACTCTGTCTCAAAAACACCAAACCAAATAGAAAAAACCTACTAATCTTTAAACTGAAAAGAATCAGAGATGGGTAGATGAGGGCTAGAGGAAGAAATATATTAACTAGGGACTTAAAGAACTGTGACTAGGCACTGGTGGCTCAAGCCTGTAATCATAGCTAATCAGAAGTCTGGGATCTGAGGATTTAGGTTTGAAACCAGCCAGTGCAGACAAATCTTAGAGAACCTTTATCTCTAATTATCCAGCAAAAAGCAGAAGTGGAGGTGTTGGCTCAAGTGGTAGAATGCCAGTCTTGAGGGGGAAAAAAGGGAACACTTCAAGGCCTTGTCTTCAAGCCTTAGAATTCTCTTTCTCTCTCTCTCTCTCTCTGAAACTGCATCTTAAATAATATAAATAGTAGGTTATAATCCTGAAATATAGTGATCCATATCTACTTTAAATACAAATGTTTGTGTTCAATTTATTTTTAGACAACAACTCTAAGAGTGAGGAAATTAGAAGAAAGCATTGAAGCAGAAAGAGCAGCACATTTGGAATCAAAATTAATTCTGAAATAATTCAGGTAAAATGCCAAACATATTTTAGGCATGAATTTAAGTTGTAGCAGCTGGGAAAACAGCACTGTAAGAACAGTATGTTAATGAGTAACGTTTTGTTATGCACTGTTTTATCTAGGATCAGGTTACAGTTGGAGATACAGACATTAGTTGAGGAGTTGGTGCATGGCAGCTTTCAGGGAAGGTCTCACCTACTGTCCATTTTTGTGAAGTTTTGTTTCATCTATGGCTGCATTTGTGCTATAGTGGCAGAGTGGGATATGGCCTGGGTATTATTCTGCTCTTTGTCACTGTGAGGAAACACCTGAGGGAAGTAATTAAAAATTGCAAAGAATTTTGTTGGTTTGTAGTTCTGGAGGCTCCATTCCATGATTGAGTGGCCTCATTTGTTGGGACCACATCATAGTGGGAATGCATGGTGGTATTTCTCACTTTATGAGCTAAGATATAGAATAACAGAGAAGGCAGGGCAAGGTCCCTTTGAAGACATTCTTTCCCCAGCAGCCTAAGATCGACCTCATAAAAGTTTCTAGCACCTCTTAATAGTGCCTTTCTGGGATAGTCAACATCGAAACTGTAGTAGCTTGCAAACCATCTTACTTTTTGGCCCTTGGTAAAATTTGCTGATGAGAGTGTCCTTTTATTTTTGTCCTTTCATTTTTTGAGTTTAAAGTAGGGGTTTAAACTTAGGGATTTGTGCCTGCTCTTTTTTCCACTGGTTAATTTTAGGATAAGGTCTTACTTCCCATTTTGATATGTGCCTGAGCCACAGTCTGCCTATTATGGGCTTCCTGTGGTGCTAGGATACAGGCTTGCACCACTGCATCCATCTTCCTTTCCACCAAGAAGGAGACTTAGGGAGTTTTCTGCCTGGGTTAGCCTGGCACTACAGCCAGTCTTAGCCTCTTACATAGTTTGAATGGCAGGTGAATAATACTGCATCCAGCTATGAGTCTGAAGGTAAAAAGGTAAATGAGCTTCATTTGGAGCTCATAACTCATTATCTCTGTCTGTCTGTCTGTCAATCAACCATCTAGCTATCATCTACCTATCATCTCTCTATGTAGGCCTACAAATACAAAGACAGAAATAGATAATATTAAAATATTGTGGGAGCATAATAAAGAGAGCGATTAAGTCTACGAGGAGAATTAAAATGGTGGCAATCCAAGAGAAGTATCCTTTTCTTTATGTTTTATAAAATGAGAAGGAATTTCTGAAAAAGAACTCTGCATTTTGACTAGTACCTGTGTACTAATTTTAACCTATAGCCTGTATTTTTGGTAGACATATATTTTTATTTTTATTTATATATGTAGATATACATATAGATACAAAGGCATTGAACACACATATAGGAAATAGCCCCTATTTCCCTTACAGCATTTAAGCTAAGAGAAAACAGACAAGAATCTTATTTAAACTTTCTTCCTATGTAATATTTACAGTGTCAGGTATATAGTGTATATATATATATAAATGTACATATATAAAAATATATACATATATACACATGTATTTATATATAAATCTTATAATACACATATTAGTCTTTTCGTGAATATTGTGTTTCACACAGATACCATCATAAAACGGTTTAACTGGCTTTAATCCTCCTATCCTTTACCTTCACTATGTTTCTCACAGGATTATTCAAAACAAAACCCGTTATATTATTCACCTACATAAAACCTCCAATGGTGTCCCACCTCCCAAAGGATCAAAGTCATGCTCATGTATATACAGCTACTGCACTCCCAGCCCTGGATCCCCATCCTACATGACCTGCCTTCACAGAGCCTCCCATGCTTCCCCTCAATCTTCAGTTCTTCCAGAGCTGAAATGAGTTACATGTATCACCAGATTCCTTTACTGATAGCAATAGTGCCTTTATTCCTATTGGTAAAGTTGATGCCACAGTAAAATAGTTATATTGTTTTTTTACAGATTCTAATGAAGAAAATAACTGAGACCATATGTTTTCTGAGATTCCTTATTTTACACACGCGTGCATGCACGCGCGTGCACACACACACACAGAAGAAGAATGCAAGGAAATGAAGAATCAGTGAACTCATAGAAAATGTTGCATAATACATTTAGTTGCAGTTCTATCCTGCTCCTGGTTCTCTACCCAGTGGAAGTGTATATGCCTGTTTTTATAGATAAAGTTTTAGTGGAAGCTAGCCAACCCTGCTTGCTAAGACCAAGAGCCTATGGCTCATGAAACACAAAATGTTTGTCTCTGTTTCTTTACAGAAAGATCTGCTGACCCTGCAGGGTAAATCCACTTAAGTGTGTTTGTTATTTTGGGGGAATACTGTGCAATGTGGCATGGCAGAACTTAGTGAAGAGTTTTGAAATAATGTTGGGAAGGTATGACAAGGACTAATAAAAGTCGTTTTTCATGGAAAGAAACATAATTATTTTATTTTAGTTCCAAATTATACTTTTTATTATCTTTAGTTGTACAAAGGGGATATAATTCAAAATGTCATTATATGAGTACAGTGCTTCTTGATCAATATCTTCCTTTCCCTCATTCTCCCCCATCCCTCCCAACTCCACCTGTCCCCTCAATTTTCCTAGTTTCATAGAATATACATTGAATATTGTAATTACATTCCCTCTCCCTTGCTTCATCTCTTCATTCATTTCTCTCCCTTTCCTTGTCTCCACACTATACACTTTAAGTACCAGCTTTCTAATATTTTTTTTTAAGCTGTGAGTTTTTCTAAGGAGTTACATCTTTGAATTCTCCCTTGAATATACTATACTTAGGTTAATATATTTATGTACATATGCATATGACCCTGCATAGATTTATATATCTATAAATTTTATATAAACATAAATAATAAATTACACATATAAATATTCTATATGTTTAAATTACATCTGAATTCCATATATGAGAGAAAACATGCATCCTTGTCTCTGGTCCTGACTCATTTCTTTCTTTTTTTTTTTTTGGTCAGTCATGGGGCTTGAACTCGGCCTGGGCCCTGTCCCTGCGTTCTTCAGCTCAAGGCGAGTGCTCTACTGCTTGAGCCACAGCGCCACTCTCAGTTTTCTAGTGGTTTATTGGAGATAAGAGTCTCATGGATGTTCCTGCAGGGCTGGCTTTGAACTGCCATCCTCAGATCTCAGTCTCCTGAGTAGGATTACAGGTGTGAGCCACTGCCGCCCAACGACTCATTTCTTTAAGAAATATAGATTTTTTCCCCCAGATTCATCCATTTCTTTGCAGATGATATTATATCATTCTTCTTACTAGATGAGTAAAAATTCTGTTTTGTTTCTATGCTGTATTTTCTTGATCTATTTGTCCATTGAAGGGTATCTAGGCTTTTTTCATATCTCGGCTATGCTAAATAGTGTAGCAATGAACATGGTAGGCAGTAGCTTTACCATATCCTGTGATCTTTTGGATAAATGCCTGAGAAAGTTGTTGAATCTCCTAAGAGTAGTTCAATCTCCAAACTAGTTTCCACAGTGGTTATACCAATTTACATCCCCACCAACAATATATTAGGGTTCCTGCTGCTCTACTTCTGTGCCAGCGTCTGTTGTTGCTTGTTTTCTTTATGATAGTCTTTCTAACTAAGGTGAGATGGAATTTCATTGTTTTTATTTACATTTCATCTAAGGCCAGAGATGTTGAGCTCATGTGTTTATTGCCTATTCTTACTCTTCTCTGAAATCTTAATTTAGCTCCTTTGCTCATTTATTAATTAGAGGGTTTAGTTTCTTGAGCTCCTTGTGTATTCTGTATATGGTAAAGAAAGAATTGTGTGTATAAATCACAATTTGCTGTTGATAAAGTATTTTTAACTGTGAGGCTACCATTTCTTAGCATTTAAAATTTTTTCTTTGTCATCTTGTAGTTACGGATTAGAGACCTTGAAGGAGCATTACAAGTAGAAAAGGCCAGCCAAGCAGAAGCTGTTGCTGATTTGGAAATGATCAAGAATGAATTCAAAGAAGTTGAAGGTGCATATGAGCAAGAAAAGCTTAATGCACAAGAGAGTTTTGCAAAACTAGCTTTGTAAGTATTTTCTGGTAAACTTATAAAAATTAATATGAGGGATTTTATGAGTGTGAATATATTGTGTTTTAGATATAGTTTCCATTAATGTCAATGATAGATTGGAGGTAAAGGACTTCATAAAATGTAAGTGTACTTCCCTGTTATAGGAGAATATCGAAATGCTCTTTGGATTTTGAAGTATCTAAGCAATTCAGTAATGCAGCTATATACTATGTGGTAAATATTAATGCATTTTGCATCCTATTTATTAATGAAATACATTCGTTTTTAGAATCTTGATTTGTAGGCCACATGGGGAGATAATATTTGAACTTAAACTGCATAAGTAAAAGTAGAAGTGGTGGTAAACATGAGTATGACTCACTGCTTGTGAGCATTGAATGGTTTAATTTCATAAATCTTACATCCTGTTAGGCAGCTACTTTTTAAAATCTCCATTTTATAGATATGAAAACTGAGGCTTAATGAGGATAAGGACACAGTATCTCATAAATGGCAGAGTTAGAATCTTTGGGACACCTACTGTTCCAACCCTCTTCATTTCAAAGGTTTTTTTTAATCTTGAAAACTCTATGAAAACCTTTAAGAAGTTTACAATTCTTTAACATATTTCCAGAAATCAACTTACCCATGCTATGTTACATGACAATAGGTTGGTATGTTATTAGAGTTAATGTGTTCATTTTTAATCTCAGTTTCTATTTATTACAAATAGATAATTTTCTGTTTACAGTGGAATTAAAAGGCTCATAAAATAAATTATAATACATAATTTAAAGAGAAACACAACTGAAATAGGGCTGTAATTATTCTAGGTATGGAAAAATCATAAAGATAGTATAATAAAGAATAAAGTTTTAAAACACTTTTTTTGAGGTACTGGGTCTGAACACAGGGCTACTTGCTACTGTGCAAGCTGCTTTAGCACTTGAGTCATATCTCCAGCTCTTTCAGTTACTTACTTTTTAGATAGGGTCTCATACTTTTAACCCTATAATGGGCCTTAGATTTGCATACTTTTACTTATGTCTCTGAGTAGGTATGATTACAGGTTTGTGTTCTGGCTTATTTGATGCAAAGGGGGTCTTACTAAATTTTGCCCTGGCTGACCTCATCTGCAGCCCTCTAGATAATCTCTCCAGTATGCTGAGATTACAAACATGGCTGGCTGAAGTTGGAAAAATTTTAAACTATTATTTTTTAATTGTGATTGCTTTTACCCACAATACATAATTTCATTAATTTTGATTTGTTGCTGGAGATAGTGTCTAGGCCCTCATACATGCTAATTATGTGCTCTACCAATGAGCTTCACCTCTAGACCAAGTCATGTTTATATATATATATTTTTTTTCTTTCTTTTTTTTTCTTTTCTTTTCTTTTTTTTTGGTCGGTTGTGGGGCTTGAACTCTGGGCTTGGGTGCTGTCCCTTAGCTCTTCAGCTCAAGGTGAGCTCTGTACCACTTGAGCCACAGTGCCACTTGCAGTTTTCTGAGTGGTTTATTGTACATAGTCTCATGGACTTTCCTGCCCGGGCTGGCTTAGAACTGTGATCCTCAGATTTTAGCCTCCTGAGTAGCTAGGATTACAGGTGTGTGCCACTGGTGTCCGGCTATATATATTTTTTTTGGGCCAGTCTTTGTGCTTGAACTCAGGGCCTGGGCACTGTCCCTAAACTATTTCACTCAAGGCTAGTGATCTACCACTTGAGTCATGGCTCCACTGGCCTTTGGATAATAATTGGAATGTAGTCTCATGGATTTTTCCTTGCCAGGTGGCTTCAAACTGTGATCTTCAAATCTCAGACTCCTGAGTAGCTAAGATTACAGGCATGAGCCACTGGCAGTTTTAAATTACATTTTCTTGCTTTTTCTAGTATGATATTCTGTGTATGTTATTCTAAAAACGTAGTCTTCTTAAACTACTGCTTGAATATGCACATTTGCTAAATTTCAATGTGTTCAAATGTTATTCTGCATTATAAATATACTTGAAGGGCTTTTATAGAAACTATAGTGCAGGTTTCTTTTCTTTTTTTTTTCCTTGACATAATGATTAGGAATGAAACCAAGAAGTCTGATTAAGCTCCTAATAACTACAGTCTTTCTAACAATGAAATAATAGTCATCTATGGAGAACAAATAAGTTCCTTACCATGGGAAAAATCAAAAAAGGTAGATAATTCTCTGTCATAATGTTGAAAAAGAGACTGATGCAAAGGTTAGAGGAATTTTAAGATGCCTTTTCTAAGAATTTCACACATATACTATTCTAATTAGCCCTCCAAAGCAAAGTTTTTCCTTAAGTTTAGTTTTTTGTTATTAATATATTGACACATTGTATTTCACTCAAGTTTTATATTATAATAAGCATCAGTAGATAATTTTAAGTACTAATTACTTATTCCAACAAGCAGTACCAATCTCTTTTTTTTTTTGGCCAGTCCTGGGGCTTGAGCTCAGAGCCTTCTTTTGCTCAAGGCTAGCACTCTTATCGCTTGAGCCACAGTGCCACTTCTGGCATTTTCTGTATATATGGTACTGAGACAAGCACTCTACCACTAAGCCACATTCCCAGCCCAAGCAGTACTAATCTTTAATGCCTTAACATAATGTCTTCGTTATGGTTTAGATATGAAGTGTCCCTCAAAAGGTTCGTGTTTTGGAAGTTTGGTCCTTGGCTGGTGATATTATGGTAATATGATTGGATCATGAGGGCTCTGACCTCATCAATCTTTTTCTTTTTTGTAGTATTGGGATTTGAACTCAGGTTCTTGAATTTGTGAGGCAGGTAGGCAGGTGGTCTACCACTTGAGCCCTTATCTATTTTTTAAAAATTTCTGTGGGATTATACTATAAGTGAAATAATAATAAACAAAAAATAAGTAATAATGAAAGACTATTAGTCATTTAATAGTTTCCTAGACATTTGTTTTCTCCCATCCTATGTCATCTCATTTCATAATTTCTTTCCTTGTATATAAAATGAAAATTACTTACATTTCTATTATGTGTAATTTTAGAAGGAATGCTATGGCTTGAGGGATGTTATTTCATTTTCTACCTGTACTCCTGCTTTTCAGAATCTTACTTAAAATATTTTAAATGATTTTTAGACTCACAAACTCTCAAAGATAAATTTTTCAAAGAAATTCTAAGTTTTGGTTAATGTTTTCCAAAAAGAGATTTGATTAGATTTTAGATCTTTAAGGTAAATCATACCTTTAATGTATAATTTTGGGATTATGAAATGTTAAGGTAGAATATTGCTTTATTTATTATGAAGACCTGAGAAAGCAATTGGTAATAATGATCTTATAAAGTAAATGCTGCCAGAACTTTGCTAGTAGTTAAAGCTATTCGTTTTTTTTTTTTTTTGATTTGGGAAATAAGCTTGTCCTTTAGTGGGAAATGAGTAGGAGGGCTATCCAAGCAGGAAAGTGGAGTGTCAGAAGTTGATTCAGCCTTCTGAATCTGGCTTTGTAACTTAAAGGTGGTGGCCTTACAGTTGTGAAAAGTGACTGTGAGAGAGACCACAGGGTCTTAGGGTAGCTGCTAACAGTAAGAAGGTGGTCAGTGGCATGTAATTCCTAATATCCTCTGGAAGTTTAACAGTATCCATCAAGTCTGAAATCATAAGCAAATATTTTCCTAATCTTACCTTATAATATATGATGAAATAATAGTATTTATGTATTTTTGTACTTTAAGGGCACTATAAATATATTCTTTGTTCTTAGTATATGAAATTTCATGGTAATGTGTCCAGCATGAATTGTTTATTATCTTCTTTCAATTTAAGAGATTCAGTTATTTCATTTCAGGGAAATTTCTTTCTTTCTTTCTTTTTTTTTTTTTTTGGTTGATCGTGGGGCTTGAACTCTGGGCTTGGGTGCTGTCCCTCAGCTCTTCAGCTCAAGGTGAACTCTGTACCACTTGAGCCACAGTGCCACTTCCGGTTTCCTAGTGGTTTATTGGAGATAGGAGTCTCACCAGACTTTCCTGCCCAGGCTGGCTTTGAACCCATGATCCTCAGAGCTCAGCCTCCTGAGTAGCTAGGATTACAGGTGTTAGTGGGCCACCGGCCCTGGCTGGAAATTTCTTTATGTTGTTACTTTGTTGATTTTTTGAAATGTCTCCTTGGAAACTTCCATTATTTTGTATATTGGGACTCTTGGGCTGATTTTTATTACTTTTACTTTGATTAATTTTTACTATTTTGTTTTACTTTCTGGCAGTTATATTAAGTGTAATATCCTTGTAACATCTATTCCTTGTAAATAT